GTATTTATTAAGAGAAAGCGGGCTAATCTAATGGTCTAACATATTGCGTGTTTTTATAGTATAGAAAATCTTATTTTAAAAAGATGGTCTAATTTTTTCTACTGATGTGCATACATATAAATTTTAAGTGCGTTATAGTTCTTTTACATACGTAAGCATGTTTTTATTTTTTTAGTAGGTTTTTTTATAGTTTTTCTTCTCGTACTTACGTATGATTCTTGATTTTTTAAATGAACAGTTCCATAGCTTTTTCCCTCATAAGTAGGCATGCTAGTTTTACCCATATGCACGGGATACTAACAGCAAGCAAATAGATCTAATCTACCGGTCTAAAATTATGGGCCCACTAATTTAAATGAAAATCAACAGTGAGATTATAAAATGCCATGTGGCGACTTAGGAGCGTTCGTAGGGACGCCACATGGCGGATTAGGAGCGTTTATAGAAAGATTAATGGACTTTTAGTATATAATAGATAGAAGATAGATAGATAATAGATAGATAGATAGATAATAGATAGATAGATAATAGAAGATAGATAGATAGATAGATAGATAGATAGATAGATGACTATTGTTCCCTGTTAGTGGTGCGAGAAGATCATCAACAACAATGACGCCGATGACTCCTACCAGATGTTGTGGCGCTCTCCTCGACCGAATTGCATTTCCTGCTCAAGCTGTTGTTGCAGTTCCGCATATGGCGTTGTTGCAGTACTCCGACCAGCACTTCTGCTACCACCAGTGGTGCCCAACCACCATTGCGGAGGGCGGCAAACTGATGAGGGCCAACGGGAAGACGATGTTGGTAAAGGCCGCCGCTTTCCACACCTTGCCATTGCTCTGTGCCACCACTCGTCGTCGCGTTGCGCTGCCGCTTGATGTGAAAGGCTTGCAGCCACATCAGGTTGCTATCGCTACCCAGCTCCCTCGAGCTCTTCCGACACGTCACCCCACTATCACCTATCACCACCCTATCCTGATATCCTCAACCTCCCGACGCCCTACAACCACCGAGAAAACATGGAGAGTGTGGGGGAAGAAAAGGAATGATAGACAGGAGGATGAAGTGTGGGTCATGCTTTATTTTTTTTAATTTCTTTATGACTGAGTTGTCATGTAGATGTTTTGACAGCGAATATTCTATACATCCGATTTTACCGTCGAGGGATACGATGACTTAAATTAAACTTTTGCCTCCTACTTTCCACGATGTCGTCAGACACGCTGGTACTATAGTGCTATAAAAAATTCTCCAAATATTGGGCCGTATAGCCTGGCCGAGATATTCGCAAACAGTCCAGCTAATGTTCTGTGGTAATGGCCCGGTGGACCGATTTATGCAATGGAGTCAAGCAAATAATCTGGCCGTTCATTTTCTATCGGGAGTGACTATTCATTTGTCGTCGGGTGATTTCTAGTAAAAAATCACCCAGATTTTTTTTACCCTTAGATTTACATCCAACAGACTACAAAAGAAAATAAAAATTATATATTTACTTACACAACATTTTTATCAAAATTACAGTACACTTACATGTCATATCAACTAAATTTACAAATGTAATTTTAGTTATATAGGACTGTAATTTTATATTTTAAAGAAAAATAAAAATTACATATTTACTTACATAACATTTTTATCAAAATTAAAGTGCACTTATATGTCATATCAACAGAATTTACAAATGTAATTTTAGTTATATAGGACTGTAATTTTGTATTTTATTTTTTACTTTAGTTTCAAATGAGAGTGAGGAGAGAGAACAACGCACGTGCCGATTTTTTAGAGCAAATAAAAAAGAGCGACTTTAACCGTCCGACGACGCTGTTACACGCGGCCCAACTGAATCCTATGCGGGTTTCCCAGCCCAATATATACGCACGAATCTTGGTACACATCGAATGGCCGAAAAAACGTCAAATCTGAGAGAAAAAATCACACGACAAATCTATAGCAAAATCGTTTTCTATCAGACACGGCTGATAATCATCCAAATGAACTGCACTTTTATTCTGCCTTTATGCCCATGAATGCAGGACAACCAACGTAACCAAACACCCATAAAGTAATGTAAATGTGCTCCAAGAAATTTAAATGGAACTGCTTAAGTTGGTTTTACCGTCAAAACAACAATCACTTCCATTGTGTTTGTGCTTTGATAAATGCTGAGGTTCAGATAAGACAAGATCATGTGATAGCTGTGTTTCTGCAAACCATCATATCATGTCTTTTTCAGAGATAAATGTGGGCTCCACCCAAGCTAACAATACCTGGAAATACTTGGCAACGGATCAGCATCCATCTTTAGGCCAATTGCAGAAGCAACCCTATGGATATTTCTTTAGCCCATCACCATTGCACCAAAATATCATTTCAGAGAAGCACATGATGTAAGCATTTTTTTCAGATTATTTTTACCAAGTATTCAGATGATTTTTTAGATAATGGATCAATAGCTGACTCTATATCCAAAAAGGATGCATAGTCAAGTATTCAGAAGAATGACTGTCCAATCTCCAATGTATTAAAGATAATTACTTTTTATGTCTGTGATAAACTGTACTACATTCGTTTAAAATTAATTGTTTATCTATATTTGACCGGTGCATCTTGAATCAAAGGAATTAGGAGGAATTTCATAGGATATAAATCCTTTTTTTTCTATTTGGCCCTTTGATATAAAGGGTTGGAGCTTTTCAAATCCCGTGAAATTCCTACGGAATAACTTATTGCGTGTAGATTTTAAAGAAAACTTAGCAAGATCTCCAACTTTTGAAAAAAAAAACTCTTTTGAGCTATATCTTTTCATGTGATTCCCATGTTTTTTTCAGACTAATCGAGCGACCATTCCTGCGTTTTTTTATGTAAGTAATCCTCTGTTTTGTACTTAAATCCCTATCAAAATCCTGTGTTTCAAAGAAGCCCTAAATTTTTAAAATTTGTGTAGTTTAACAACATCCAAATTATATCTATTATTCTAAAGCTGGCAGTGCCTGCTGCCATTTGATTGGTCCGATTGGAATCACATTTATACGTCGACACATGTCCAGCTAAAATGCTTAGTCGCGATTCGTGGGGAAGCAGCGCGAGCACCGAGCAACTGCAAAGATGGTTGGCAGGCTGTCGCAGGCCTACCGAGTCGAGCACCTGGATGCCCAATAACCACACATGCACATGAAGCCCAGCCAAATACGTGAATGCTTTTTGTGTCTATGCTTGTGCTATATATAAAAATATTTAATTTAGATGATCACAAGATTTTATTCACATACCAAACTTATTGGTGTGTATATATTAGTTATTATGCACACTAGGCTTGTGCACACATATTTTCTTTTTAAAAACCAAAATTATTGATTCGTCAATCAATTGATAATTTATTTTTCAAAATATCAAATAACAAATACAAGTAAATGTCACATCATGCCAAACGTATATATGTGCGCTCACCGTTCATACTATGTGCTGCCCTCGCTTACACTCATTTTTAATTTGTAATATTAAGGGTACTTGTTTTGGTAACATAAAAACATGAGATAACACATGGAATAATTAGTGTCCAATTGCTTGGTTTGCATAATAAGCTGAATAAAAACAAACAAGGTAAAAAAAATATTTGCCTAAGGAAAAAATGGATTTATCAGCTTTTAGCGAGGCTAAAAAGAGGTATAGGTGATTCAGAAAAGAATTGGCATTGGGCCACACAAAAACGCTATATCTGGATTCTTATTGGACAACATTAGTACTTTCGGCTCAATTTGGAGCACTTAAAATGTAGGAGTTTATAGATCCTGTTTGCACAGCGCCATATCTAAGACAAAAGTTAAATTTGAAGTTTGTATGATAAATAATAGTGATTTAAAATTTTATATTTTATCTAGGATGGGAACAAAATAATTCATCGAAACGTTATCGAGATAATCTTAAATCTGAAGTAGTGCCAAACAAATGCCATAATATATACGGGCTAAAATTAGTTAGCGCGTCAACGGACGCGCCTATTTTCTAGTATTATAAAAATACTTCTAATGACGAATCTGAAAATATGAATCTTGTCATGTTAAACTATATGATTTATAAAATTTGATCAAAAATTAAAATGTTTGAGTGCAAACCCTCTTCAAGTAATTTCAAATGGATAATAAGGTTCAGTAATCAGTGTACTCCTTTTCATCGGTCAAGCTTTCGTCCCTTTTTTTTTCTACTAGTTGAGAAGAAGGTATCACTTGTAGTGAGGTAGATTCCATTTCCAAAGCCTGAAACCGCAATCTTGATTTATCATCTGGACGGTGACCTTTCAAGAAAAACACCCGATCAGATCCTAAATACCTCTGAACTACAAAGTTTATCCAATTCATTACATATCAAACAGCAGAGAGATCGAATCTACATCCCTCGTACAGCTCGGTTACATGTGGATCCGATGAAGATTTACATAAAAAATATTACCCATGGTCCGGGTATCCATGGATACCCGACCCGATGAGCACGGGCGTGGGAGTGACTTTTTACCTATGGGCTCATCCGCCCAAGACCCGAAGACGTCATGGGCAATAGGCGGGTTTCATTTTTTACCCATGGGTAACCCATGTCCGACCCGATACATATGTATTAGCTAATTTTGACTCATTTCTTAATTCTTATACCATTTCTCTTGGTTCATTTGTGATGCTAACGGATACTAAGTTGTGATCAACTTGTGATGTAATTCAAATTATTGTTGATAACCGATAATTTGGTAAGTTATTGATTTTATTTCTCTTTGTTAAATTACATATCTTTCAAGTTATTATTCATGTGAGATCCATAGGGTACCCACTGGATATACTCGCGCCCGCCGGGCATGGGTACGGGCATGGAGTTTTGCCCGCTAACTCTAGTAGGCAGTGTTCGGGTGGGCAATGTCGGGCATGGTTTTGCTCTACCCGTGTCTGACCCGACCCATTGCCATCCCTACACTTGACACTACAAAATTAACCTATCAGTCACATGGAGGCAAAGCCTGAAGCTAATAAACATTCAGACTTCGTGGGCTATTAATATTTCTGGGGTCCTCTTCAGAGTAAGTTCAGAGCGAGCAACAAGAAGGAAGGCGATCAGCTCGTTCTTCTTCTCCCTCTCCTCCAGCGACGGCCATGGCGAGATTAGGTCTTGCCGTGTGCGCCGTCTCCTTCCACCTCTGCCTTCTTCTGTCGTCGACCTCCTCGCTCCGGCTAAACCCCACGACGGAGGACACAGCCAACCATGGCAGAAGAACTGCTTATCACTTCCAGCCTGCAAAGAACTGGCAGAATGGTAATCAAGGACTAATCTTTTTGATTAATCGCTTGATCCAGTTACGGATTCCTGCTGATTAGCCAAACTAATCCCTTTTCCTGTCTGATCGGTGCCGAATTCCTGCTGATTTGGATGCATTGGATTTACGATGGCCGCTGCTGATGCCGATCGAGCAGATCCGAATGGTACGCTCTCTGCAATTCTGCATCTCTTCTTGTTCCCCTCCCTTCTCTGATTACTTGTAGTCTCTGCTTAATTCTTCTGTAAAAGAATTGCATAAATTACATGCTTTCTTGGTTACGGATCTCCAGTAGTGAACACTCAACATTGAATTGCAAAAACTGTAAAAGATGATCCTTATGAGCTTATCCTGTTAAGCATATAGCATTGTATCTCTCGTATATAGCATGCTATTGTATATTTCCTTTGGCCGTTCCTTCCTAATCCCTCCCGGGTGTGTTTCTATAAACCGGTAGAGCTGGATATGGAAGGTTCTGCGCCTACTTGTACTCCGTGCTATGCATCAATGGAATACACGTTGAGTCTATCAATCCACCATGGCGCCCAGCAGCCCGGGCCTTCTTTCTTCCTCCTCAGTGGCTCTCGGCTGAGGCGCGGCGGCGCCGAACCTTCTCTCTCCTCCCCTCCAAAAAATCGAAAAAATCTCCACTAAATCATCACAATTTGGAGGGGAAATTGTTGGAGGACATAGTGGCAAGGTATTCTCCTCCGAATCTCTCGTCATTTCGCATTTTTTTTGCTTGGATTGCTCATTGATGGATGAACCCTAGAATCGTGATTTGGGGTTATTTTCCCTAATTAGTTGGTTCTCTACTCTGTGGTTGTAGTTGTTGTTGGTGATGCAATGCTTAGATGTTCATAGAACCCTAATTTTTAGTGGAGATTTTTGGCACTTAGGGAAGAACCCTAATTTTTCCCCCAAATTAGTGAAGAACACTTCTTTTTTTTTTAATTTTCATCACAATGCGAGAGTTCAAATTTAGGATGGATCGTTACAAATGGAAGTTTGTGTATGTTTAGATATTTATGGACAATTTCGTTGGGGGACATAGTTGTAGGTTAGATTTCTTTTTATTGCAAATTCAAGTTTTTAAAAAATGCAATATGCTAATATGTCGGTTAATGTTGTAGATGGATAGATTAGTACGATTGCACTATGGTGGTTCGGTGGTAGAGCAAAGTAACAGTGGTAGCAATTTCGAGGGGATGAGTGTTAAGCAACTTATATTTGGTGGAAAACCTAGTTTTGAGGAGTTAGTTTGTCATACAAAGGATGTGCTGGGGTGGAGCAATCAGTCTATAGCTATACAAGGTAGATATGATGTTGGAGCAGGACCCATTTCACACAAGTACATGCTAGATTTGAATGGGGAGTTGGAGTGGAACACATATGTGGATATAGTGTTGGGCTCCCAATTCAAGTCGCTTGAGGTGGTTGCTTCGAAGCTTGATCGTACTGACTGCAGAGATAATTCTTTTGACCTCAATCGCACACTGTTTTATGATGAACCAAACTATGAAGCATTTGATGATGAAGGAGCTATGAAAAGTCAGTCGGTTAAGTCTTTGACAGTTGAGGAAGTCATAGAATCTCAAGGGATGGGGGTGGATGTTAACATGCAAAAGAAGGAAGCAGTTGATGCGAATGAGGGAAGGAGTCAGGAATCTGAAAGGGTGGAGATAAATGTGGAGTTGCAGAAGGAGGAAGCAGTTGAGGCTAATAAGGCAAGCAGGCTTGAATCAGAAGGCGTGGAGGTAAATGTGGAATTGCAGAAGGAGGAAGCAATAGAGGTGAATGAGGCAAGGAGTCAGGCAGTTCCGATAGTTGGAAATCATGTTGATGATGATAATGAATTGGCAGATGGATCAATGGGGGCAGGTGGAGAAGAGCGTACAACGGATGCTCAATTAGCATCCATGGTGCGGTTCTATTTTCAAGACAAAATATATACTCGGAGGGAGTGTGAGGAGACTTTGTTGATGAATGGATTGAGTGTTGATTTGCTGCACAAACATTCAGAGGAGTATGATGACACACATGAGGAGGAGGGATATGAGGTTGAGTATGCCGTAGACTTAGATGACGATCGTCCAGTAGCCAAGATGTCTTAGGAAGAAAGGGAGGTGTTTGAGAAATTAGTTGGACGCAATCCAGAGGTTGTTCAGTTCGAGGATGTTAGCAATTCTAAGCTAGCAGTTGTTGATGGAGGAGTAACATACAATGGCATCATCGATGCAATGGGTGAGGAGCCAAAGAAGGATGAGCACATAGGGATCGACATCAACGCCATGTGCTACATACCGGAGGATATGAAGTTTCTCAGGTGCCCCTTGATTTGCTTCTACGCCGTTGAGTGGCAGCTCATCCATCGCGTGCTAAGGCAGTTCGGCTTGCGTCAACCCATACCAAAACCATTCCCGACGGGGCTCGACCTCCACAAGTAAGATTTGCATTGTGCATATCATTTTCAAACTTTCTCTTCGGCATTGGCTACTCAAGTTCTAACCAAATTATTTGTTTTGTTGAATGACTGTAGGTTGGACAACAAGAAGAACAAGAAGATTACGGACTGGCATGCTCATCATCTCCATCTTATTGAGCGGTGGGACAACACAGCAGCTAACGTAGTGCCTCACGGAGTGGAGCACAACAAGACATACTTCGACGAGTACCTAGCTTGGCTCCTAAGGAACTACCGCCTTTTCCTTTGGCCGGCATGGACTCTAGCTGACATAGCTACAGATCCCGAGGATGTTGAGGAGATGAACGAGTATGACACCCACACTTGAGCAGGGGCGACGGTCGAGTATGGGCCTGTACGTGACCGAGTGGTAAGTATTAAGGCTCAGAGTTGTTCATTTCACATACACCTACATGTTCTCACAATATTAAATCCACTTGCAGGCACGTGAGCTGATGAGGTCCGTGAACGACGCGGGTGTTGCCCTTGGCACACCTGCTGGGTCAGAGAATGAAGTTGGGATACTTCGGAGCGCACTTCAGGTAATTAACCAATTAGTTCAATCCATGAATCATTTCACTTGCCTCTAACTAATTTGTTTTGTTCTTGCAGAGGCTAAAACAACGAAGTTGGATGTTAGCGGCAAGACTTGGTTGTAGGTCCACAGACGCAGTCGACCCACAACCAAGACTAACACGGACACAGGCCGGAGAAACAAGTCAACAAAGAGCTAAAGAGGAAGGGGAGGAAGAACATGATGAAGGGGAGGAAGAACATGAGGAAGGGGAAGAAGGAGATGGACAGAGTGACGAAGAGGAAGAGGAACAACCCGAAGAAATCGGGTCATCTCAGCTTGCAGGTGCCCCGCAGCCATCGCAACCTTCCCAGGGTCGCCCGCAGAGAAAGAGGGTACCGGTGGACCGGTACACACCTTCCACTAGTGGCCGGAGGGGTCGGCACTAGTGGATTACTTTGTACTTAACACTCTAGGCAGCGTTAGACTTATATCAAACTCTAGATGATGGTTGATGGATGTGTTGAACTCTATATTTTCTGATGGTTGATGGATGTGATGAACTCTAAATACTGTGATGGTTGATGGATGTTCAGTTGCTGTGATGTGTTAAATACTATGTGGCTGTCAATTTTGTGATGCTAAATACTTGTGTGATGCTGTCAATTTCTGTGTGGCTGGCTGCGCTTTGCCAGCTACTGCTTGACCTCAGCGCCAAATAGAATGGCGCTGAGATTGTACACCGAAGGAAACGGCCGTCACGCACTCAGCGCCGATGCGGTCGGCGCTGAGATGTTCAACCTCAGCGCCATCGGCCCTGGCGCTGAGGTCGGGGTCCAGATCTGGTGATAGTTTTTGCCAGGGACCAAATTTGCAAATAGTTTTCAAAAAGGGCCAAATTGTCAAATTTTCGGGAATTCTTGTGTGGCTAGCAATTGTAGGGTAGATTGGTATGACAAGTGTACTTGCTAGTTGGCATGCTTTTGATTGGACTTGTGCGTACTTGCACTAATTGGCCTTGAACTGAAAAAGAACATCTTGATCGAATTTAGTCCACAGAATAATTCTAGTTCCCAATTTCAAGCCTGCCAGTTGAGAAAATTGTTCAGTTCAAGTTCTGTGGGTTTCTGTCAGACCACAATTTTGCTTCCTTGCAGTAACATTCTGCATTTTGATTAGCAAGGCAGGATCTATTTAACAGAATTACATCTCTTACATAATCGAAATATTTCCAGCCGACATTTTCTGTAATTTTAAACCTGTACGAGAAAATACTTTCACTCAAATATTTCCATCTATTTCTAATTTAGTTTGAAATATTTGCTGAGATGGACGAAAAATTTGCATATCTCTCTAATTTCATCCTGCTCTGAATTCTTCAATAAAAAAAGAAACCTTGCTAACCATTGGGTTAATTTGGTACTCTCGCCGTTTGAGAATATAAGATATTTTGGTTTTAACCTAAGTCAAACTTTCGAAGTTCCACCAAGTTTATAGGTAAAATAGCAACATGTCTCGCATGACCAATGATATTATAAAAGTATAATCCATTTTTGTATTTAATGAAATTAATTTGGTGCCGTATATGATGTTTCATTTTTCTATAAACTTGATCAAATTTAAAAGCAATTTAAGTTAGGATAAATAGAGAACATTTCGTATGTGCCCATCAGTTTTCGCTGAATTCTTTCTATGTTGAATTTTAGTTTTATCCTCTACGTGCACATGAGTTTTTATTTTGATCCCCACTATACCCATGCCGTTAGTTGAATGTAACTTGACCGTTAAATTTTTCAAAAATTGACTATATTGCCCTTCTTATACCTACTTTAAAAACATAAATCCCAATGTGAAAGAAATCTATAATAAAATAAAAAAGGAACAAAATTATATGACACCGGATTTAAAAACATAAATCTCAATGTTATAAACAAAATTTAAAATTTCAGAAAATTATTTTAAAAAGGATGAAATCCATATAAAGGGTTCAGTAGGAAATTGAAAAACCAAAACTTTCTCTTATTTGGGATTAATTTTGAGTTAAAATTTTGAAAAAAAAACCCTCATCAATTCTGGTATGTAACTTCTTGAAAATATTTAAATTTTAGTTTTCAAATTTATGATCCAGTAATTATGTACGATTTGTTTTTATAAATGAATCAACTTTTACATTGGAGGCCACCTTTTTTAAATCAACTAGCACACGCTCCAAGTAAGAGAAAAGAGTAATGTTTTACTCTTTTAAACTTTCCTTGTAGCGGTGGCGATGAGTCTTCCTCACCGCCATCACCTATTGATACTTGGACCCCACAAAGTGAGCCCCACATAGCTAGTTTTTTTTATAAAATCTAATGGTCAGCTAATCGTTAACTCACGGAATGGCCTTTGAGGGATCAAATTTGAAACTTAGGGTATGTAGGAGATGAGGCAAAATTTAGAAGCGCGAAGGGATAGGCAAAAATTTATGAGTACACAAGAGACTTAAAACTGTCGACATTTTGGAACTTTGACTATGGTATAACTTATAATGTAACTAACCTACAACTACATTGTGAATTTTATATAACTTGTTTGTAAGTTTTATATAATTTGTATTACACTATAACTATAATTATAGTTTAGTTAAAATATAGTAATACTCTCTATATTTTAATTTTAAAATATAATGTGTATTTTGTTTTGTTAGAAAAAACTTTAACCAATAATTATTTTATTAGAATATCATTTATGTGACAAAAATTTAAAATGATAATCAAGTACTTTTGAATATGGAGGTAATAAATTTAATTTCGTGCCATCAAAATTATATCATAGTAGAGTTTTTAAAGCCTTGTCTGAACAAAACAAAAAAATACCGTGTATTTTGAAATGGTGAGAGTATATTTGAAAAAAGAACTTAGAACAAATTTGTGGCAGTTTTTTTAACAATTTTATTAAATAAAAAGGGAGTCCTCCGGGTTAATAATACTTGTCGTTTTGGACAAGAGCACAGTCTTAAAAAACAACTTTAACCACTATTTTCTATTATAATATACTATATAGAAGTGTTAACAAATATATGATTTTATTGAAGGATTTTTTTAATACTAATCTATACATATAATCATCATATTTCGAAGATAAATATTTTAAAAATTATCCATAATAAAAATAAAATTTAACTATATCTTTATCTAAAACGACAAGCATTGTAGGAAGCTCTATGTTGACAGTTATTCATTTTATACGTGCAGGGCCTTTGTACCATAACGGTATGTACCATTTGTTCTACAAGTACAACCCGCATAGCGCGCTCTGGGACATCGGCAACCTCTCCTGGGGCCACTTTGTCTCCGGCGACCTCCTCAACTGGGCCGCTCTCGACACCGCGCTCGACCCCACCTCGCCTTTTGACGCCAATGGCTGCTGGTCGGGCTCCGCCACCATCCTCCCCGGCGGCCTCCCGGCCATCCTCTACACCGGCATTGACGCCGGCAAGGAGCAGGTGCAGAACGTCGCCTTCGCCAAGAACCCCTCCGATCCGCTCCTCCGTGAGTGGGAGAAGCCCGCGTACAATCCGGTCATCGCGCTCCCGCCCGACGTCCCCGGCGACAACTTCCGCGACCCCTCGACGGCGTGGCTCGGGCGCGATGGCCTGTGGCGGATCGCCGTCTCCGCCGAGGTGGACGGCGTGGCGTCCACGCTCGTCTACAGGAGCGAGGACTTCGTCCGGTGGGAGCGGAACGCCGCGCCGCTGCACGCGTCGCGCGCCGCCGGCATGGTGGAGTGCCCGGACATGTTCCCCGTGGCGGAGAACGGCGAGGATGGCCTCGACACGTCGACGAACGGCGCCGGCGGCGTGCGCCACGTCCTGAAGCTGAGCGTGATGGACACGCTCCAGGACTACTACATGGTCGGCACGTACGACGACGCGGCGGACGCCTTCTCGCCGGCGGAGCCCGAGCGCGGCGACGACTGCCGGAGATGGCGGCGGCTGGACTACGGCCACGTGTACGCGTCCAAGTCGTTCTTCGACGCGCGCAAGACCGGCACGTTCTGTGGGCGTGGGCGAACGAGTCCGACAGCCAGGCCGACGACGTCGCCCGCGGCTGGTCCGGCGTGCAGACGTTCCCGAGGAAGATGTGGATCGCCAAGGACGGCAAGCAGCTGCTGCAGTGGCCAATCGAGGAGATCGAGACGCTGAGGAGGAAGCGCGCCGCCGGTCTCCGGCGAGGCACCAGGCTAGGCGCCGGCGCGGTGCAGGAGATCGTCGGCGTGGCGAGCTCGCAGGCGGACGTGGAGGTGGTGTTCAAGATTCCGAGTCTGGAGGAGGCCGAAAGGCTGGACGACCTTGGTGTTTTTTTTTTTTTGACAGATTGACCATTCGGTGGTGGAGAGCTTCGGCGGCGGCGGGCGGGCGTGCATCACGGCGCGGGTTTACCCGGAGCACGTGGCGACGAGCAGCAGCCATTTGTACGTGTTCAACAACGGGAGCGACGACGTTAAGGTGGCCAAGCTGGAGGCGTGGGACCTGGCGACGGCGACCGTCAACGTTGTTGTTGGAGACCACCACGGCCTTGCTGCGCCGGCGTTGGAGTTGGAGCCGACACGTACGACGCAGTGAGGCCTGAAGCGGCTGGCCGACACTCGGACACTGGCACAGTTGGTTCGATAGTTTGATTGCATCGTGCAGCCGATTGGTTGTGTGGTGATTTGTTCGATTGTTGTGAACAGGGTGTATGATCTGTGACAGAAAGAAGAGCACAAAAGAAATCATTCGACAGTATATGTCACGTGCTTTATATGTTTTGCTTTTTTGTTATAGTACGTATTCCCTGCGTTACATCTATAAATCGTTCGACTTTTCTCTTAGTTTATTTCTTTAAGTTTCATCAAATTTGTAGAAAAATATATTAACATTTTTAATGTAAAATAAATATATTTAATTTTAAATTTAATGAAACTAATTTAGTGTTATAATTGTTGCTAATTTTTTTTATAAATTTGATCAAACCAATAGACTTCTGACTATGAAAAAAGTCAAACAACATATTCATTTGCCGGAATACATTATGAACATGTCTTCGATAAGAACCAGTAAGAACTAGTTTGGTATACTCCGATGCTTTTTTGTTTGTTTATGTATAATTACTCACATGGGAGTATTACTATTTAAAGTAGAAACTATGATGATGAAATCTAGAACACTTAAAAAAATAATGATGAAATTCAGACCACTTAAAAAAATGATTAACTGTTGGTGGAAGAGGAAAACGAGAGATTTTTTATGCATAACATGTGCCCTGATCTTATTCAACTCTAAGTGTGTCAGCATGAAAGTGAATTTGGATTGAAATGGTGTAACCTTTTATCCCATATTTGTATTTCTCTTTAGACTTTGAGCTGAATGTCAGTGGACCTAAAACCACTCCGGATTTGTATTTCTCTTTAGACTTTGAGCTGAATGTTAGTGGACCCAAAACCACTCCGGATTGAGTAGGGGGAGTTATTTGTTCGGTTTCAATAGTTGAGGGTGCAACATGTCTGGTTTTCGAGTTCGGGGGTATAATTCGGTCGACCTCGATAGTACGGTGGGGGGTAGTAATTCGTACTTTTTCCTTGTAAAGCACACATGTAAAGCTGGCATATCTGTTAAAAAAGATATTTGGTTAATTCAACTGACTTGAAAAGTTATTTTTTAACAAAGAAAATTTGTGCTCCTGCTTCTGATGGATTAATTCAACTGACTTAAAAAGTTATTTTTAAAAAAAAGAAAATGTGTGCTCCTGCTTCTGATGATATTCTGCAATGAGTATATTCTCACAGTTGCAGTATACTAGACTAAATTTATAGTACCTAATAACGTGCGTTTTACGTGTACTGTTACTATACTGAAAAGAGTGAGCCTGTTTGATTACACAAATTGATGTATACATATACTCGAGCTAACACAATCAATCAAATTGTTTTTTTCCTTTACTTTCAGTCATATTTTCTACTTTAACATATACCTAATAACTAGTTCATCCAACTTTATCAATTTGGTCATAAATCATCCATCTTCTCTACAAGAGAACGATATCCTTTGTAGTTTTATTAACCTTCCAATTCGCTCACGGAATAGGTGGTTATCTCCAAACCGATCTAAATTAGCCTAGAGGTCAGTTTAATCTCTAAATCGTCTCTGCTAGTCGGTTTTGATCTTTTCTAAACCCATCTTAGTCAAGAGCTTTTCTAGATCAAAATGGTTGACATGTTAATATAATAAATCTTTAATTAGATAAATCCGTGTTGACTGCAAAATGCGCTAACACAATCTCCAAATCTTTTTGAGTTCATTCAAACTTTGTCCCAAATTTAAAAAATTCCATGAATTTCCTCTGAACTCAAATATAATATCCAATTTAAAGCTTGAGAGCAAAAAAATCCACTGAAATGCTCAAACTTCCTCTTCAAAATAAATCTGGGGAGATTATCAAATGCCAGTATGCATTCGGCGTCCATTCCCTTTCTTTACTCTTCTTTCGGCCCAACCCAATTCCCCCATCTCTCGTTTGCACACTGGCCCGAGATAGACCAGCTTCCACTCGTCTTTGCTTCCCTCCCAGTCTGGCCTAGTACACCAGCATTGGGGGCTCAAATAGAATATGTATATTATTATGACAAAGATTTGGTATTATTTAAGCATATAAAAATTAATACTGTTTTATACGACAAAAGATATTGCTACTTTTATATTTAATTTTGGTGTCTCACTGCACATTGGGAAACATTATCTGTCTGTGAGCAAAAAAAAAAAAAACATATTATATTACAATGGAGTCGCGGGTTTAAATTCTGATTCGCATAATTACATTAATGTGTGAGATTTCATCAGGAATTTGGCGAGGTTGATGAATTCATCATTATTCCTCCATTGCTTCATTTCGTTAAAGGAGGTGCACTCGCTGGTGTAAGTGTCATGTGCGTAGGTGATAGTGTGTGCTTACGTGTGTCTTTCGTGCAAAAATGGTTGCACTGCAAACTTTCGAAAAAATAGAAATCATACCAATGATTTGGAACACATATTTTCCTTCTGAAAATATAGATAATATTATTCTAGATGGTTTATTTTCATTTTTTTAAAAAAAGTATAAAAAAATAAAAAAAAATCCACAAATGTGAACAAAAGAAATTACACTTGTAGAAAGCATGGCCCTTATTCATAATTACATTTGAGGCTTGTAGGCTTTACTTTTTTTTTTCTCCAGCCCATATTGGTACACACAGTAACTACCGCGCGTATCAATTATTCAGTGCAAAAGATCCTTTCCATATAGTCCAGCAATGGCTTGCCCGGGATTTTCCTGTTTCACCAGGGACTCTCCTACCAAAATCTATGTGTGCAAAAAAAAAGTCAGGGATTTATTTCAGAATAAAGTAACAAAAGATTCATAATTCAAAATTTAATATCTGAGAGGAGGAAACACAATCCATCGGTCTAGTGTTTCTTTTGTTGTCTCTAAACGAAAATGAATTTTTCCAAAACACCATAATTCAAACGACAACAAAGTACCAGAAAAAAAATTGGGAGGAGGAAAAAGGTTGCAATTTTGACTACAATTACATCTAAATTAGAATATAGTAAAATTGTTCTGAAACTAGCTTATTAAAATTTCCCAGAATTAGTGTTATTTGTTATATCGTGGATAAATATTAAGTCCAATTACAGATATTCTTAATCCATTTCAGACGTTCCGTACAATATTTCAGCTGGAAATTTGAAGCACATGTATGACCAACTTAGCTGAAAACGGGTAATCAGTAAACTTACTGCAGAAACACCAGCATTCTGCACGTATGCAACATCATCAGGCGTGAAAAGACCAGATTCACCAACAACCTGAAATAAAAAAAAATCCATTAACACCACATATACAGGTCAACTAATCACTTTATATTATAAAAATTAGACAAAATAATATCTAACAGGCACCCCCGAAAAAAGGAACTTCTAATAGGTTTGAAACAAGAATCTGTTCCGTGAACAACTGAACTGTGCGATATTCTGAAATCAATGGTGTATCAGATAACAATAATTACGTGCTCCCAAATATATTTTAAGCAAATAAACGGATATATTTCAAGTGGTTTTTAAATTATCGTTGATGAAAGTACACTGAAATATGGTTAATAATAAAGCATAACATCAAGCGCATCTAAAAGAATAAAAGTAAGATAACGTAATTGCTGATTCCAAAACGAATTATCACACAACTGTACGGAGGACGTACCAGAATCCCTTTATCCCTTATGAGGTCACCACGTTTCTCCAACAGGGTCTTTGTGTTTGAAGTATCAACCTTAAACGTCTCTATAATAACGAAATTCCAGTATACATCAATGTCAACTATGATTCTTAACGTCTCAAATGATTGGAGACATTTGCAAGAAATGATAATGACCATACCTAAACTTCGGTTATTGATGCCGATAAGCTGAACGCCATCTATTTTGAGCACACGATCCAGCTCCCTCTCATCATGAACCTAGAATATGAGTGACGTTTAGTACACATTAAGAAAACTTACAATTGAATAGGATACGATGAACTAAAAATGAGCTCATCTAAAAATATAAAAATAAAACAGAGCATGCTTATGACGAATCACATATTAGATAAGGAATTGATCCCTACAAGAAAATGTTTCAACCGATCCATTATCATTCGATTAATCACTGATAGAAAAGCAGCAACCAAAACTGACTTGTCAAATTTGGTCGAAACATCAAATTTGGTAATAAGTTAAATGATTTGTCAAACAGAATATGGACAGTCAAAATGGAATTGTATGCAAACTGTTATTGTAAAGCAACAGTGAGAGAACATGGAAGTTGTAAAGCACCTCTATGAGAGCTGTCATTCCGAGGTTCTTGCAGATGCGAAGCATGTACTTGATGTCGAGATCAGGTAACACGGCAGCAATCAACAGAATTGCATCCGCACCCTTTGACCGAGCGTAATAGATTTGCCAGATATCTATCACAAACTCCTTGCAAAGAAGAGGGCACTGCAGGCATTGACAGAATCAAACTTCAACATTCGCATGACAAATGCACATGTTTCAACTGTCAACTGCAGCTGAAGAATATTCTTCCGAAAAAGTTAAAAAAGAAGAAGCCCATTTTGAATACTAGCGCGTACCTTTACTCCGGAATTGCGAACGGTCTCGAGATTCTCAAAGCTACCCTGAAGAATCAAAGAGTTTGAAAAGTCAGATATATGCGAAAAAAAAACATTAATAATTGTAAGGATAAGAATTTGAGAACTACGAAGTCGAAAGCTACCAGAAGGCGAGACCTTCTTTCTTAGAAAAAAGAACAGAAGAACAGCCAACCTGAAAGTGTTTTTCGTCGGTCAGGATACTGAGGCAAGCCGCGCCGTTCTTCTCATAGGATTGCGCGATCTCAACCTGTTATCAGTTCAAAAGATTAGCAACACATGAAACAGTATTCAGACAATTAAATTATAAACCAGGCAATCAACCTTCAGACATGAATTTTCGTAAAGAGAGATGCAAGCAAAACTCTCTGAAACTCACCGGATTGAAGTCCTCCCGGAGCACGCCTCTGCTCGGCGACGCCTTCTTCACCTCGGCGATCAGCGCCGGCGCGACGTTGCGGCTGTAGGCCGCCGTTAGCGCGCCGACGAAGTCCCTGGCCGGTGGCGCGTGCTGGCTCGACTCGATCACCTTCTGCAGCGGCTTCTTCGCCTTCCTCTGCACAAGAACAGAGTAACCGAAAATGCATGCCAATCAGTAACAAATGGTTATTCTTGTGTGCGAATTTATTCAAACAGTTTACGCGCGGCGCAGACGAGTTTACCTGGGACACCTCGACCTCTTTGTCCCAGATGATCTGCTCGAGCATGTTGCGGGGGACGGCTTTGTCGGCGCCGGAGCCCTCGGAGGGGTAGCGTGGGCGGCAGCGGCGGCGGATGCGGATGCCCTGCGCGGCGGCGATGGAGTTGATGGACTTGCCGCTCTCCCACTGGATCACCTCCGCCGAGTTAAACATCTCGTCGTGCTCCAGCGCGTACAGGATCGAATCCTGCACCAAAACCAGATGCCATCAAAACCCGCAGAAACGATCGATCGAATAGGAAAAACAGGGCACGGCGGTGAACGCGCGATTTTCCAGAGCTGCAGAATCAAGAAACGGGTGGCTCGAGAGGAGGAGCACCTTGGCGGCGGAGCAGCGCACCGCGCGGGCGGCTCCGGCGACGGCCGACCGTAGGGCGTGCGGCGACGAGGAGGTCGAAGAGAGGGACGACGGCGGCGAGAAGGCGGCCGCGGGGAGAGAGGAAGAGGCGGCGAGGAGGGACTCCATCGGGGAAGGAGTTGGTGGGAAGAGGCGAGTCGGAGGAGGAAGCGAGACAAGTGAGCTGCTGTGTGATATGGTGGAGGTTTTATAGGCGTTTACAGCGACTGAGCCGGCACGGCGGTTTGCCGCCAGACTAAAACTAAACACGAAAATATGTCTCATTTCACAGTTTCACACCATATATCATTTTCATAATATAGTAACTTTTAATTATGAACGTGAACATAAAATATGTTTTATTTTACACCTTATACGTTTTCAGATATATATACTAACTTTTATTATGTATATAGACATACTCGTATCTAACTTTTAGTTATGTTTTAGTTATGTATGTAGACATACTCGTATCTAAATAATTAGGCTATATCTTTAGCTTCACCCCTCTTACAGTTAAAGTCCAATCAAAATGTTTCAACTCCATCTAAAAGGAGAGTGAATCATACTAGAGTGATCTTAGAAAATGATGGGATAAAACTACTTTACATCATTTGACTATTTATCTTGTCTTAAAACATACTTTGAACTTTTAAAACGGGGTATTTTGCACTTAAAACATTTAATACCGTGAATTTTATACCAAGGTCTGTTTATACCTTAGTATTATTACAACTAGTTGGGTGGCCCGCGCAATTGCGCGGCTAGCACCCATATAAACTTATATATTTTTTAATATGATTTTACTTAAAATTTATTAAATAGTTATCTCGTTGTCTCAAGATTTTGAAAGGCCAAACCTTATCATCCTTGTGTTTCCAATTTTACAGTTTTTTAAAAGTCACACCAGTTGATACTCCTTACTTCTGTTATATTATTCTTTATTTTCTTGCTCGATCTACCACCGTTTCTATTTATTCTCCTTGGAACCTTTAAAAATTGGATCTAAAAACTATAAGTTTATTGTCATGTTGGGCTTCTTCTTTATAATTTCTAGAAGTTCCGTCAAACACTGCCATTATACTCCTCTACGACCGTCCACTGCATCTTCTCTTTATTGTCATTGCTATTTTAAAAGTCGAACATAATTATAGTTTATGTTTATTTTTTTACATTCTAGAAGTTGCACCAAAACGTCAGCGACTTTGTCACTGTACTCCTCTACGGCTCGCTCGCTGCCGCTCTTCTTTATTGTCATTGAGATTTTAGAATCAAACATGATTATCATTATGGTTTATTGTCTCATTGGGTTTCATTTTTTTATAATTTTTAGAAATCCCATCAAACATTGTCACTATACTCTTTATTGTCAATGGGATTGTAAAAATCGAACATAACTAACATTGGAATTCATTTTTTACTTTCTAAAAAACCCACCATCCATCGGCGGCTCTGCCATTGTACTCCTATACGACCCGATCGCTGCCTCTTTTTTTATTGTAATTGAGATTTTAAAAATTAAATATGATTATTATTGTAGTTTTTTTTTTACTTTCTAGAAGTCCCGCCAACCGCCTTAATCGATTGCTTCACGACCTACCTGTCGTCCTTCCTTTTAACCGTTACGTGTTTAGAAGTCCCGCCAACCGCCACCACACTGCTTATGTATAGCCTTGTTAATTAATCTCGTCATGTGTTTTAGATGGTCTTTTTTTTTCAATAGTCTTTATTTTTTTATCACCAATTTTAGTTATTTATAAATTGTATTCCTAGTTAAAATCTTATTTTTCTTTTTCTAATTTCAGTATTTATTTTATTTTTCGTATTGTGTTCTTTTGATATTTTTACTTTTTATTTTCAATTTCGGTTGTATCTAAATTCTATTCCTACTTTGACTCTCTTTTTAATTTGCCTAATTTTAGATTTTATTTTACTTTTTATTCCGAATTTTAATTAATCTACTATTGGGTTCTTATATGTACTCTTATTTTAATATTGCTTATATTTAATTCCGAATTTCAGTTAATTTTAAATTGTATTCCTACTTGAACGCTTCTTTTCTTTTCTTTTTTCTAATTCCGATTTTTTTCCTGAATTTTAATTAATCTCGTATTAGATTCTTGTATGGACTTTTCTTTCAATATTTCTTATTTTTAGTTCCGAATTTCAGTTATTTTTAAATTGTATTCCTAATCGGACTCTTTTTTTTTGCTAATTTCGGATTTTATTTTATTTTTATTCTGAATTTTGATTAATTTCGTATTAGGTTGCTATATGGACTTTTCTTTCAATATTGCTTACTTTTAATTCCGAATTTCAGCTATTTTTAGATTGTATTTCTACTTGGACTCTTTTTTCCTTTTTCTCCGATTAATGTGGGAATTTTTAGTCCCCACAGTGAACGTGGTGTCTCCTTTCAAAGCTGTTTTAATAATATAATAGATAGATAGATAGTATGCTACTGAGGATGCCACTTGTAAAGAAACAGAAAATATTGGAGCCTACTCCCTTCGTCCTAAAAAAAGGCAAACCCTGGGTTTCCGTGTCCAACTTTAACTGTCCGTCTTATATGAAATTTTTTTATAATTCGTATTTTCATTGTTGTTAGATGATAAAACATGATTAATATTTTATGGGTGACTTGTCTTTTTAATTTTTTCATAACTTTTTCAAATAAGACAGACGGTCAAACGTTGGGCACGGAAACCAGGGTTTGTCTTTTTTTTTTTTGGGACGGAGGGAGTACATGTTAGGGTTTCTGTCATACATGTCAGAGCTGCCGTCATGTTCGTGGCTTACCTTGTCCCCTTCGCCATTATCTTGCACGAGGAGGCCGCCGTATTCAGAAAGACGCTCAAGAGGAAAGTCGACATGCCAGCGATATCTGCGGTGACTGTGGCCATGAAACTACCACCCAGGGCTGAGAAGCCAACGACTTCGATGGAAAGGGTGCTGTGATGATCACCCGACGAAGTACAGGTGCTACGTAACAGTTTCATGTTTCTATACTACCAAACTTTAAAAATGCACCAAAAAAGTCAAAAAAAAAGTTCAAAAAAAATTTAGAGATGTGTAGCTTTAAGACATGTATCATCACACAAAAAATCAGCTTAAAAATATGATGTACGCAGGGAGAAAAAAACAATAAATTCGTCCTTCAACAATGTTCAAACATGTCACTTTACTATTCACCGAAGATTTGTTTTTATTTTCTCCCTATCATCGTATTTCGATTTGTTTTTTATTAATACCGTGCAATTTATACCTAGGTCTGTTTATACCATGATTTTATTACAGTAGTACGCTACGGGGATGCCACGTGTAGTAAACAAACAGAAAATATTGGGGCTTACATGTCAAGGTTGTTGTTATACATGTCAGACCACCCGAGGAAGTATCAGGTGCTATGGAACAGTTCCGTGCTCCCGTACTGCTGAGCTAAAAAATACACCTAAAAAGTCAAAAAAAAAGTTGAAAGACGATTCAGAGATGTGTAGCTCTAAGACATATATCATCACAAATGCATCCAAAAAGTCAAAAAAATGTGAAAAAAAATCAGAGATCTGCAGCACTATGACATGTATCATCACACGAAAAATCAGCTTAAAATATGATGTACGCAGGGAAAAAAAAAGATAAATTCGTGCTCCAACGGTGTTCAAACATGTCATTTTACTATTCACCTAAGATTTAACTTTTTTTTCTCCCTACTTACATCGTATTTGATTTGATTTTTAGTGTGATGATACATGTCATAGTGCTGCAGATCTCTGATTTTATTTTCACTTTTTTTTTGACTTTTTGGATGCATTTTTGAAGCTCGGTAGTTCGGGAGCACAAAACTGTTCCATAGCACCTGATACTTCCTTATGACGACCTAACTGCGAGTACCAAGTTTATTGCCTCCTTTCACGGTACTAAATATGTAGAAGTTGGCTGTAAGTTTTAATCAACCAAATATAATAGACGAAAACAAGTTTGATGTGTACTTTGATGTGTACTTGTGTTCGCACGCAATAGATATGTGCATGTGGCTCCACATGCACACTTCAGACTCTACTGTTGGTGTTATCTATACTTTCTATAGTTGGTACCAACAAACAATTATTAAAAACTAAAACTTAACATACAATTAAGCCACATCATCACCGACTAGCAATTACTACCTCCGTCCCAAAATATAGTCAAAATTAGACACACAAGTGTCCAGATTTATAGCTAAAAATACTTACATTTTGGGACGGAGGGAGTACTATTCTAGCCCATTTAAAAAACCATGCAAGCCTGCCACATCTTCACTCACTTACGATTACTATTCTAGCCTATTTTAAATCTCATGCAAGCATGACACATCATCTATAATATTATATTATATTATAGAGATCGACAAGTATATGTCAAATCATCTTCCTCACATTATTTTCTCAATATTTCAACTTTCATCATTTCAACAATATTTAACATATACTCATTCATTAATCCGTAGCAAAGCACGAGATATCACCTAGTTTTTAGAAATTGAAACCCCTGCCGAACATTTACGTAGCTAAACGTTATTACACCCTCTGGTCTTTTGTTTATTTTAACTAACCAATATAATATAAAAAAGGAAGGAGGGAGTATATTTTAGACAGAGTAGTGCAAATCAAAGGTTTAACGGAAGTTAAAAAATAACTCTAAATTAGAACGTAGTGTAATATTAAACTCTGCATTTTCGATAAACTGCACTTTTGGTCGAACATGATATTTAATAATTTTAGATTTTAAAACTATTAAATCATCAAAAATATATTACCAAGATTTCAAAATAAGCACAGCCTTACATTTAGTAATTCAAAAATTTGGAAAATAATCAGACCGAACCAATTACAATAGCATATTTATTTATTCCAAATTTAATAACTCGATATGTTTTTGTTGAGGAAGATCTCAGCCATAGATTTGGCAGATGGACACAATTGATTTTATCTATTTTTATGAATATGGAAATTTCTAGCTCTTCTAATTACTTTGGTATTTTCTAGCTTTTTTTATACTAACCATGGAGGACTACATATTTCATTTTTCCGGTCGAGACCCTGTTCAGACTACATATGGACCGTAACTGCCACTGGATGCAAATATTGCTTCCCCATGGACGGTTCAAAGCCTGCCTGCGGTAATATATCATCGCAGGCGTGCGATAATGGGTTCAT